ACAATCATACATCTTTAAAAATTTAATCGTATCGTATGAGTCGGTAAATCTCTCTTAATATATAACAATATGTATAATGTATATTGTACATTGTCTACGACTCTTACGTATTTGTCAACAGAAAAAAATCGACAAATAGGAAATACAAGGTGTTTTAATAAATAGTGAAATAATAAGAGACTTATAAATTGTCCTTGATTTCTCACAGTTAATGGAATATATCGAAAAGAAGAGGAACCATGCATGTAGAAAATACCCTACTCTTTCTATAACCAGTATCTATCCAGGTTCAGTTTCGCTTAGCTATCAATGGTTAAATCCGGATACAATCTCGTCAGCTATCAATGTCAACACATACACTAGCTTAGCTATCAAATTCCACTAGGTCACGAGCTCTTAATCGATCAATGCCAAACTAATGGCACAATCAGCTATCAATGCCTACACGGATGCAAGCACACAATAGATCAATGCCAAACCAATGGGCACGATCAGCTATCAATGTCGACATGGACACGTGCATAATTACAAGTTATGTGCTATTATATATATATCGTAGTTAAGCAATCACAATATGGTTGTCTTGGAGTTATATATCTATGTATCTAGATTGGGTTAATCTCGATGTATGATTTACGTATTTACTAATGAGCGCATTTAGCTATATGGACAATGTACAACGTAATTTATCTAGATTTACTATGAGGCCTCTGTATTTGTTACATGCACCCATCCTTAATTAAGAATTTTTCTCAAGACCTTCAAGGTTTTAGAACAGTTAGGATTAAAATTCCAGCAGTTCCTTCCTGCAAAATATTTCCTTTTGAGGAATCGTGAAAAATAGTTGCAAGGAAGAGATGGACAATACATATATTTATGGTTGAACAACATTTACTCTGAACCGGAACCCTGAAAAAAACCATTGCGATTAAACTGAATGTTGCAGGATAGGAAATGATTCAAACTAAATGTTGCAGTTTAGGAAATGATTTAAACAAAATGTTGCAGGTTAGGAAGTGATTCAAACTAAATGTTGCAGTTTAGGAAATGATTTAAACAAAATGTTGCAGGTTAGGAAGTGATTTAAACAAAATGTTGCAGGTTAGGAAGTGATTCAAACAAAATGTTGCAGGTTAGGAAGTGATTTAAACTAAATGTTGCAGGTTAGGAAGTGATTTAAACTAAATGTTGCAGGTTAGGAAATGATTCAAACTAAATGTTGCAGTTTAGGAAATGATTTAAACAAAATGTTGCAGGTTAGGAAGTGATTTAAACAAAATGTTGCAGGTTAGGAAGTGATTTAAATGTTGCAGGTTAGGAAGTGATTTAAACTAAATGTTGCAGGTTAGGGAATGATTTTAACTAAATGTTGCTGTTTAGGAAATGATTTAAACTAAATGTTGCAGGCCAGGAAGTGATTTGAACTAAACGTTGCAGGTTAGGAAGTGATTTAAACTAAATTTTGCAGGTTAGGAAGTGACTTTAACTAAATGTTGCAGATTAGGAAGTGGCTTGAACTAAATGTTGCGGGTTAGGAAGTGATTTAAACTAAATGTTGCAGGTTAGGAAGTGATTCAAACTAAATGTTGCAGGTTAGGAAGTAATTTAAGCTAAATGTTTCAGGTTAGGAAGTGATTTAAACTAAATGTTGCAGATTAGGAAGTGATTTAAACTAAATGTTGCAGGTTAGGAAGTGATTCAAACTAAATGTTGCAGGTTAGGAAGTGATTCAAACTAGGGTTTCCAACGTAATAGATTATTCTCTTACGCGTAATTACGTGCAGTTACGCGTAGTGATTTTCATTTCGTGTAATTTCGCAGGATTACGCGTAATTGGGGAAATATCCATTTCGCGAAATTACTGCGTAATTACGGCGTAATTTCGCGTAATTTCTACAACGTAATTTTGCGATTACGTGTAATAGGCGAAACTATAATTACGGCATAATTTCGCGCAATTTCTATGAGGTAATTTGGCCAAATTTTGTATTAATTACGCGTAATTAGCCAAACTTCAATTTCGTGAAATTACGCCGTAATTTCTGCAAAGTAATTTTGCGAAATTTTGCAGTAATTACATCTATGAAATTTCGAAGTTTTAACTTTTAATTTAAATAAAACAACTAACTTAAAAGGAATATAATGTCACACAAGTTGAATCAGAAATTTCAGCCAATACTATGTTGATGTAATTTTCACGTTCGACAACTAAAAAGTTTAACAAAGGGCCAACAATTTATTTTATCAAAAAGAATACGTAATCTATAAATTTTCAATTTTCGACGACTTTTTAATATTTCAACCTACTTTCTCAAGTTTACCTTCCTTGTGTGAAAAAAATGTCAATAAAATCGTCAAAATATGTTTGACATGCTTGTAGCGGGCATATCCTTAAACACATACTTTCCCGCTATAATTATTTCTGAGAATTAATATGTACTTTATTTATTACGGAATTGTTTCGTGTTACGTAATTTCGCGTAATTACGCATTAATTACGCGAAACTAGACTTTCTTTCGTAAACGTAATAAACGCTTAATTACGCGTAATGCTCCTGCGAAAGTGAAAGAAAGTGTTACTCGTAATTACCCGTAATTAGCGTAACGTAATTACGACTGGAAACCCTAATTCAAACTAAATGTTGCAGGTTAGGAAGTGATTTAAACTAAATGTTTTAGGTTGGGAAGCGCTTTAGACTGTGTTTTCACCTTGAAGTGGTTTTAAACTTTTTACTTTAGGTTGAGTAATTTGTTTATACCGAAAATTGTAGGTTTTAATTTAAAGTGTTTTAAACCCTGTTTTACCGTGCTCATTATATTCTTGATCCATTGTAGCGGATTTAATATTGCTGGGTCGTAAAAATAAAATTTTGTCACATTTTCTTGATTAATTGAGAAGTAAAACTTTTGTCAAAACTATAATCAGTGATCATTTTTAAAGACATTTTTCACAAATCTTAAAAATTATATATTTTTAGAATATAATTTATTCTGTTCTGCGACCTTGAAAGACCTTTAGAATAGTGCCAACCCTTCTTTTTTATAGTAAGGTTTTAAAATACTTAATGTCATCATATAGTATTCTATGATGTTGTGTGCACAATGGGTCGTCATCCACTCCAAACGTCATCCTCTCTAAACGTCAATCACTGTCGACGTCTTCTTTTCGACTTCCTGTTTTTTTTTCATCAACGTTTTGTTTTGTCGCCCCCACCCCCTGACCAGATCTTTTACTTTTTCTTTTCTTGCATACTTTTCTTCCTTTTAATTTTCTAGTTTCTTGCGTCGTTTTACTTTTACCTAACACAAATCAACCAAATTTCAAGATCAGAGACTACAGCCAAAAAAAAGATGACTTAATCTATTTTTTTTCAATTTTGGACAAATAAGATACTTTGAAGAGTAATTTTTGATGTTTTGTGTAACTTAACATAACCCAGCCGTTGATCTCTTAAATTCAATTCAGCTGTTGGTAAATTTTAGAAAATATTAAAGCGTCAAAACTGTGACTGATGCAGAGGAAAGACAAGTTATTAATAAGTACCGTCTTTCCTTCTTTTATAATATAATAATAATAATAACAACAACTATAAAAATTATTATAATTATGGTAATAACAATAATAATCATAATAATGATAATGGTACCAATATCAATAATACTATTTTGATAATTACAATAATGATTATAATAAAATGATTCTTATTTATATTTGGAAAGCTTAAATAGAAATCAAATGTAAAATGAATTGACTTTATCAAATTTTATTGAATAATTAAAAGTGTGTGAGTCTTCTAAACATTTTCAACCACAATCATATCCCAGCTTTGTTTACATGGGTTGCTCATCAATTCAATTAAGTGTGTTTTTGTTTTTTTCCTTATAACAAATTCAGATCCTTTTTGTGCATTTGTTTGCAATATATCTATGTGTGTGAATAGATCTTTATGATATAATAATATTTTGGAGTGAAAATTAAATTTTGGAGAGTAAAAACCCCTTGGTGTATCTTTATTGAGTTTTTTACTGAACTGGATGTAGTGAAGTTTAAAACTATTACAACCATAATAATTAGAATAAACATGATAACATAATAATACCAGCACTTGTACTACTTCTAATAATCATGATGATAATAATAATAATAATTATGATGGTAATGAATTTATTGATAATTATATCATTAAATATAATCTTAATGAAAACAATATTTGAATAATATTTTACTTTGCCAATTGGATGAAAATCAAATTTTGGAGTTGGTGGGCTTAAAAGGAAGCTCAGAGCAGGAATATGAATTGAATCAGTAGAGTTTCAAATAGTGCACGGTAACCAGATAAATAATTCTCAACTATAATTATAATAATAATGTAAGAGTGGGTGAGAGGAAGATTGGGTAAATATAAGGGTCCAGCAAGGAACCAAATTAATCATAACAATAACAAAGATTGTAAAAATGTTTGGTATTTTCGGGCAGGGTTAGAACTAACTGTTGACGATTTTCCCTCATTATACCGGTCTAGTGCTGCAATTGTACTGAATATGAATTCACTCGTACCGACCAGTCTATACTACCTGCAGTGTAAACAAATATGTACATATGCAATGTCTACGTTCCTTTCTTTACTTTTCCAGGAATCGAATTTAATGAATTTGAGCTTGGTACGTCGCTGAACGACCTAGAGCCGGTTCAAATCTTGAATTTCCTATTTAAAGCTAAAGATTTATGAGACCCGGCACTGGTTTCTAATTCATCAAATTCGATACCAGAGATGGAATTTAAGGAATTTGAGCCGCGGTTTAAATCCGCCAAAACCCGGTTTAATTTAAGCGCCGGCTTAAATCTTGAAACATTTGATACAATTTTAAGTGGAACCAACCATATTTAAACTGCGGCTTAAATTTAAACCACCGCTCAAATTCTTTAAATTCGGCCACAGGTCTATCTTTTCAAATGCCTTTGTTTGGAATATCTGCCTTTATCGAGATTAAAGAATACATTAAATATACGTACTTTTTATTGCGATATGTTGTGTACGAACAAAAATAGAAATTGAAAGATTCCCTTTGCACATGCAGTTTATGGTTGTATGTTGTGAGCATTAGATGTTTCGGCCAATACATCATCGCATATTTTAAGAATTGTTGACTAGAAAATCTACAATATTGCTACATTTGGCACAAAGGCAACATGATCTTTGCAAAATATATTTTTTTCAGATAAATGTATGATGTATATTTTGTTATTGATTTTGAAATTTTTGATTTCTAACAATTTCTTAGATTTAAAGAGAGCTTAAATTTGGCACACACATAAATAATAAAAAAAACTTGAAAAGCATACCAACTGTAATCAGTTTTAAACAATATTCTTTGGTCATGATTTTTGGTAAACACAAGTGTCATTTTTAGGACTTTATCCTAAAATACGATTCCCCTCACAAAAAAAATATTAGCAAAATTTAAAAAAAGGCTTTGGCGAATCGTTTTTTAGGAAATCAAAATTTTAACCTTAGATTTTGAAATAATTAGATTAAATAAATATACATAGTATACAGTTCGTTTTTATAATAAATACATATTTAGTAACTAACAAAAGAAAATTAATTTTAATTTCGTTTGATAACAGATCTTGGTTCAAAGAAGAATACTTGAATATTTTTTGCATTTGATCAATGTAAGAAAGTTTATTAATGAATGTATTATTGAAAAGAAATATACAAGACAACAACAAAAATGAATATCTCGTTACTTTTTCTCTTTTATTTTTGTTTTAATTATATATTTCGTGACACGTTGGGAATAAACTCAATCAGATATTTATTTCTTATTAGTTAACTAGGATGGAAAGAAAATTACTGCTGAAAATGAACGAAAACACTAGACAAAATGAGAGTAAACTTTGCCGCTAGAGATTTTCGATAGCGGCAAGTAACGACCAATCCTGAATAAGGTCTAGATTATCGGCCTGTCAGGGGCACCTGTATATTGGCAAGCTGAAAGGGAGCGCGGTGAGAGGGGGGGTTGAGGTGAATATGAACTGAAACCCGACTGATGATGCTTTGCCTTTAGTCTCAGAGATGCTATAGAGGAAGACATCCCTGGATAGGTTGATTCCTTGTAATCCTTGTACATGTTGTAGTGTGAGGGTGCTGGAGTGGAGTATGGAGAAGAAGAAGAGGAGAGGGATGATGATATAGATGTCACACTAGGCATAATAGAGGAGGAGTTCATAGTACTTGCGCTCTGAAGACACGCCATCGAGTTAAATCCCATGGATGACATACTAAAATAAAATAGATGATCACTTTCAATTATTGTGGGGAAAAAATAAGTAATCCAGATACTATACAAATACAAATGATTATTTGTTTTTCTAATGACTCCAATGTTTATGTGAATAATATATAACAAATATTTCTATAAAAATAAATACCTAGATTGGTTGTGCATAAGAGGAGTGTTAAGTCCCCAAGCAAATCCCTTAGCTAGGGAGGGAGAGGGTACTTTAGCTGCCCAGTTATTGTAGCTTGGATATCCGTAGCTGGATAATCCATCTTCAGGGAAAGGTTGCATTAGTCCGTTGAACTGGGATCCAAATCCTCCTTTACCAAAGTCTGAACTAGCGTTTAGTAGATGCCTTTCACGTTTTCTCCACTTTGCTCGACGATTTTTAAACCATACCTGAAAAATATACGCATTATTAAAAAAAAACATCAATTTTATCGTGGATTGGTTGCAACCTTATAATTTAGATGGTTCATATTCCAGAAAAGAAAAATGTCTAGAATCCAAGTTGAATTATTTAGTAGCTGAGATGATTCTAAAAACTGTTGAACACTCTCCTATTCTCACATTATGTATTGAGAAGCGTTCCACCGGAAGATATTTGACACTTCTCCCGTTTCTGTTTTTCCTCCTCTCTCACACACCTCTCTTTTCAATAGATTCATAATTCTGAATTAGCATAATGTAACATATTGCAGACCTAATAAAATCATGATCATTCCCTGGAAAAACAAATCCAAATTCTTTATAAGACAATAAACTGCATTTACTTACTGATAAAATCAATTTACACTCTTACATTAAACCTAAGTTCCAAAATTCATTATTGTATTATTTTCATACCGCATGAAAATCTAAAAATACTTCTTCCAATTTTCGTGTCACTCCATCATTAATTGTTTGTTTATGCGATTATGGATCAGGAAATTGGTTTAATGACTTATTTGCGTGAATGATTCTGTAAGTTGAAGTGGATGATTTAAATAAAGATAACCTATTTATAAATTATCACATTTAGTAAACATTCACATACATGTATAAATGTATACACAAGACAAGCAAATAGATTGTTCAGTTTAATTTTTTTTTTATATTCAGTATTAAAACAGCAATTTCTCATGCACTGTGTTTCAAGGAGTGTACTGTGTAAAGTATACTGTCTAGAGACAAAGAGAATAGAATATATATTAGAGGAGAATTTACTAGAAAAAAGTGTAAAACGGCCATTTTGTTGTACTGTTTCCATACTGCAGGTGTACTTCACATATTTATGCTATATAACCTTTTGGGCCCTGGAATATCATTTTATAGAAAATCTAAAATTAATATTAAAAGAAAACCAAATTATGAAATAGGCTGGTTTCATAATTGACCAATGATCATTTCACATAGACTCTATTGCCTTTCACTTTACAAACGATGATTTTCCGTTATAATTATAAATCAAATGATGTTTTTTTATTCACCTAATTCCTTATAAAGTTTGTTTAACAGCTTTAAAAAATTCGAAATTGAAATGGATAGTATAGGCAACCTACTGTATTAATGTACTCTACTGCATATAATTTGTGAACATTTACATGATTTGTACACTTTGAACTCCCTTTCAGGGTGAAAGGGACTGAAAAAATTCATACCGAGAGATTCTTTAAATTCCCCTCTAATATACATTCAATTCTCTATGGTCTAGAGACATATACATGTATATGTATTGTATATAAAAAATGTATGTATGTGTGCAAACATCGAATGAATTTGTTTTACTTCAGATCAAAACTGACTTTTTACTTTTCACATGTGAAAAGTGAAAATATGTTAATTTAGAAACAACGACCTTTACTAATTCTGTCAAATAGAGGTTTTATTAAAAAAATTTACATTTTCATAAAAGTTAAACAAGTGAAATTACAACTCCTGAATCAATATAGGCCGATAAGAAGCCGCTTTAATCTTCACAAAGTAAACTGTCTCGAAATATAGTTTGCCTTTGTTTACTCTTATTTGCGTCGAGAGTTTTCTCGCTTTTCAACTTAATTTAACTCCACAAATAATCACGGCTCTTTGAGTAACGAAATTCCTATTTGAATAAATTATGCATATTTTTTTACCAAAACTTTTTATTACCTACCCAAAGATTCAAAAAGTTTTTGGGTCAAATACGATCGATTTTATGATCATTATTTTATATCCCTGCATGAACTCTTAATCAAAACGTGCTTAAAAAAAAGGAAATTTAAAATATATATGTTTTAAGTAACAATTTTTGTATCATTTACATATGTGTAGCTTTAGTTCACACGGAGCTCTATTAACATCTGTTCTTACCGATTAACTCTGAAATGTGACTATGTAAAAATTTAAATGTTCAAAATCAAACAATTTAAAACAAAGGAATTGAGTCTTTGCCACAAACTCTGATTTTCTAATCCCTATATCTTTGGATTCCAACGTCGTAAACCTTTGACATTTCAAATTATGACTTTTGTTTAATTAAAAAATATAAGTTTGAAATATCAAAGGTTTACGACATTGGGCTTCAAAGATATTGGGATTAGAAAATCAGAGTTTGTGGCAAAGACTCAATTGCTTTCACAAAGTATTTACGTTTCGGCCAAAAAGTATTTACGCCTCGGAATGTCCATTGAAAATATGTACATTATTAAACTTGCAAATCTATATATGTTTGTATTGTATTTACATTGTAGTATGTATTAGAAAAGGAGTGCAAATACATTTTGCTCCATTCGATAAACATTTCTTTATTCAGTTGGTTTCTATATATAAATTTGGCTTGTCTGTCTGTCTGTTTGTTTGTTTGTATCCAATAAACGTCAAAACGGCTGAACCGATCGGGCCCAAATTTTTTGTGGGACATCTAGGGACCTCAGGGAAGGTTTATGAATGATTGAAATTTTAACATTTTGTGTTTAGAAGTTTTTTATTTTTGTAAAATTTTTAAAATGCGCGAAAAAATATTATGAAATCCGCAAACTGTTTTTGTTTTTGTTTTATACTGTACAAAGAGAAGATGCTCACAGATAAAGCCACAATTAAAAGTTTAAATAGAAGATGGGCGCGAAGCGCCCTGAATTTCTAGTATAGGTAAAAATTGAATAGCAGCTGTTAAGGTATATGAATTACGTAGTTAAGTGTCCGAATTTAATGAATTTAAGCCACGTCTTAAATCCCTACAAAAACTGGTTTTAATTGACCGCCGGCTTAAATCTTGAAAAATTTAATACAAAAGCCTAAAAGCCTAGAAAGAAGGGCGCGAAGCGCCCTGAATTTCTAGTATAGGTAAAAATTGAATAGCAGCTGTTAAGGTATATGAATTACGTAGTTCAGTGTCCGAATTTAATGAATTTAAGCCACGTTTTAAATCCCTACAAAAACTGGTTTTAATTAACCGCCGGTTTAAATCTTGAAATATTTAATACAAATTTAAGTGGAACCAACCATATTTGAGCCGAGGCTTAAATTTAAACCGCGGCTCAAATTCGGCCTCTGATAATCTAAAGCCCTGGTTCAAACTTAAAATTATATTATTTAAAACAGCTTTTGATTGATCATTTTATAAATCTTTCAACTAGTTCTGTGTGATTTTAGCTTGCTCTCTTTTATTTACTGTTAAGTAAAAGACACGATCATAGGCTATTTTTAGTGTCTTTGGTTTATGTTGATAGTTAAAATTAGACGCATACATGTTGATCGGGCTTTTTTGTTTGCTGCTGGTAAATATCTGTAATGCCTGATAATCTGGGCCCATATTGACACAAGTATACACCTTGTCATTGAAAAGTTACACAGACTATAAACTTTTAACATTATTATGTGTGTTATTTCAAGATAAATGCATCTATGCAGACTGTTATCTCCCCTCTGCAGGCCCAAAAATTATCATTTCTTTAAATGAATGTGACAAGTCGGATTTTAAGAAACCAGTACATAGCCTAAACAAACGAATATGTAGTTTATTCTTCAAAACTACTTGAGATACAGACCAGACAAGAGTAGTGTTTAAAAATTCGAAGAGGAAGCTGTGAGGGAACCCATAACAAGATAAAGTCCAAAAATGTCCGCCCAGTCGTGTGCCATCTTCTAAGTGTTCTTTCTTCTGGCAGTGCCTTCACGTATTCCCCCATTTAATCCTCTTAACCCTTAAGAAACGCCCCGTCGTGTGTCTTGTTGATTTACAAAAGTAACAAAATAAATTATCTAATTTTGGGGATTAGACAAAAATGCAATCATAGCTTTCGTTTGTTTTGAGCAGCAGTCGAAAGTTTCAGCAAGAAATAAAAAGTAATAAATTCTTTTTTTAGGATGAAAAAGCTATATATTTTCACTCTGATTGAATGTATAGAGGAACACGGGTCACTAGTTCAAATACTTAAAATACAATGTTTATACTCATATTTGAAACCCTAAACTAGTGATGAAAGCTGTTCACCAGCTGCTCAGAAATACTTATTTAAGTAAGAACTGGGTAATTTCCTAGAGAACGATTTTTGGACCACCCCCCCTTTTTTCTATCATTTTTGATCGATTTTTAGGCATTTTTAAATAAGACACACATGGATAAAGTTGGTCATGTGGCCGCAGCGCCAGCCTCATAGCTTGTCCTAGCCGCGGCACTCGGCCCCCCAGCCTGTCCTTGCCGCAGTGATCGGACCCCAAGCCTGTCCTAGCCGCAGCACTGAAAGTGTCTTCACCTAACCTAACCCTAAATATATACTAATTTTGTTGAAAATTGTTGAAATTGAAGGTCTGTCCTGGCCGTAGCGCTGGGCCCAGAAATTGTCCTAACTTAACCTAACTCTGAAATAATACAAAAAAAAATATTTTACAACCTAATCCCGCCTTGTCAGTTTAATTGATCCAAGCAGGCTGGAAATCTATTAATATATTTACGGACATAGGTGGAGAGATGCAAGGGGGTTATTCTAAATGGTGATCTCTAGTCTTATCTGATTTTATGTATTTTGTACTGTTTAAATCTTTTTGTTCATCTAGTTAGTTGATTTCTCAATATTTGCCCCCACCACCCCTAGCCTCTGATTCAATCATGAAATCATTGTGTTATTATCTGGTTCCCACCCTAAATATCTTATCAATTTGTCCGTTTGTAGTCTTAGTATAGTTACTATATGTAATGTTTACTCTAAGGGGAGTAAAGTGATGTCGTGTAGTGTGTGTTATGAAGAAGGGGGGAGGTCCTTAAAAGAGATATTTTAATTTAAATGAATTGTTATACATAACCACAACACAACTGGAGGTAAATGCCATGGATCAAAGTATAAGTATATTAGTATAGAAAGGAAATGAGTCTTTGACACAAACTTAAATTTTCCAATCCCTATATCTTTGCAACCTGATGTTGTAAGCCTTAGATTACTAGATATATCAGAATTCATAGTTTGAAATATTTAAGGTTTACAAAGATATACGAATTAAAAAATCATAGCTTGTGGCAAAAAGACTCAATTCCTTACACTTAACTTTGCCTTACAATAATTTAGGCAACAACAAAGGAAGTAACAAATGAATTCCAAAAAATCATGAAATGATGTTTTACGAGGGTGAAAAAAAAAATTTGTTTTTAGTTATTCAAAAATTATAAGTAGTGTTGACTATCGACAAAACAACCGGATTTATCTGTTTACAAGCGAAATTATGTATTACGTAAAATATGTGTGTTTGATGTGTGTCAGGAGAAATCTGAACCCTTACAAATGTAACACCAGAGTGCGAGATAGGTTCAGTGACCCAATCAGAAAACTATCCTTGAAAATTATCTAAGTTTTATCGCTGTACAAGGTATTAATGAAGCACCTTAAATGTTAAGAACATGTACAAATCTAGAGAAGGGAAACAACTTTACGGTCAAATTTACAATTATAAACCCACACATACTTCATTGTAGCCCTCGATATAAAGATTTCAGACCAGCAAAGCGCTCGGTCCTATCTTCAAGTAAAGTACTATGTTTTACGTTAGAATAAGATTATTTTTATTCACAGAAATATTATAAAAGGTAGATATGTTAAGTAATAACAAATTTCATTACTTACCCGTACTCTGGGTTCCGTCAGATTAGTCCACATTGATATCTCCTCTCTTGTTGACATGTCCGGATACCGGTTTCTTGAAAACAATGCTTCTAACTCCTAAATGAAATAATTTTTTCAATGCAATAAAGGTGTTAGGGATTAATTGTAAATTACTTTTGATTTTCAGAATTATTGTCTGAAAGTGAAAACATGACTTTATAAAGATTTTTTATCTCCAATTCTTTAATTACAGGCACTTCAATCTTTATAGGTAATCTTCATATGCAAACAAGTGGATCAGTAAATAATAGTAATAAAAAGGTTATATAAAAAATCTCAGGAATATAAATTATTTAAAAAGGCTTCTACGAGCCTGTTTTAGAGGCGCTTTGCGCCACTCTCTCTTGAGGATAAGTATGAACTCCTCTTTTATAATTTTTATAACTTTAATGTAGAATGCAACATTCTACATTATAAAACAATAACCAATTAGAATTTGAAGATTTTCATTTCTTTTATTTGTCAGTTCAAAATTTTTAAAGTTAAATTGGTTTTTTTTTGAGGGGACATATGTTAATCCTGACCAGCAATGGTGCGATTGTTTTCCTGTTTATTTTTATCATTAAACACGCCTTATATGGATATGTTAGGTCTAGGAAAAAAATTGGTCCAATCAGTTTAGACCTTTTACCAATAGTCATGTGTAGCTAAGCTCAATGCTAGATTTCAGGACAAGCCACCCAGTTGTGTTGTTTTTGATGTAATTGCATCCTAGGGAAATGTTAAATACATGTAAATTTAAATAAACCTGTAATTGCTGGGATGTGAAGTGTGTTCTCTGTCTCCTTTGTCTTTTCTTTTTTCCGTCCTTATCTTGGAGATCATGTTGACTATCTGCAACTTCACTGCTCTGACTCGGAGCTTCCCCAGGATCTAAAATATAAATTCAGAATTTACACAGTTACTTTGTTTTTTGGATTTGACTTAAGATGAACCAACTCTGTGTACAAAAATTTATCGAGTTCAATTTTTAATGTGATACTAAATTGATCAATAAATATTTGTATTGTTATTAAAATGTTAGTCATTTTATGTAATATTTATCCATTGTATTCTTTGTGGCGTAAAATATGAGTCAGTGCGTGTTTGTTTGTATACCCAGCCAACCAACAATAGGATGGTTTAGCAGAGGTCCCCTTTATACACTGATATATAGGCGTGATGACACCAACCCAATACAATAGAGAACAGGTGGCGGTATCCCCAACACCCCCTCCCCTCACATATCAGACAATCGCTCCCTGTATCATATCAAAATATAAATTTCATCAACCAAAAACTGATGATAGAATGATGATGATTAAATGTTCCCCAGGACGCTGAGGATCTAGGTTTTTATCTTACAAAACTTAGATTATTCAAAACTAATGGCTCAAAACACATGGTGATTTTTAGGGATCAAATTTTATAAATGTAGAAGAGAAATAAATAAATGAAAAGAAAATACATATAATTGATTTTTGGCCGGCGACTAGGCTTAACTTTCTATTCACTCAAGTGTCCAAGAAACCTAAGAATAATTTATTTGAAAAAATTATTTCAAATTATTTTTGATCTCACTGAACAATATGAACCAGCAATTGTAATCGGTAACAATATGTATCAATTTCATATAAAAGGCATAAACATTTTTTTCAGAAAAATATGAATTTATTCGTAAATTCTTTCTTTTTATATATTTAAAAATGTTTAACAGTACTCTTAAAAGTTTACAAGAACACTATCAATATTCTTTTACTAAATGCATTTTGTGGTAGAATACATTTTGTAAAAGGATGTATTTTGTTTTCGAAAATATGTTTTAGTCGGATACAATTTGCGTCCGGGATATATTATGTAACTAGATATGTTGTTTGATTTTTGTGATTGAAGGATACATTTTGCGTCAGAAATATATTGTGAGAAATTGTTTGAATCGGATGCAAGGATACATTTTGCAAGTACTCACAACTTAGTTAGCTTTTGGTTGATAACTATTGAATAAATAAGATGAAATAAAGGGTTGTGAAGATGGTATTGTTAGATGATCCCTAAAATGTGACATATGTGTAATCGTGTAGTATGCTGAGCGTATTTGTTTATCAATCTCCAGCAGACCGACAAATACTCAAGAGATGAACCGACAGGGAGGAAAATTAAAAGGACAGACAATTTCGTAGACAGTGAGCGAGGACGAAGCTAATATTGATCTGAGCTTGGAGAACACTGAATTCGCATCTTAAAATTACGTTTAAAGGAATACGCATGATTTTAAGTGAGAATATTGTTTTCATATTTCCCATGGCAAGCTAAAAATGAACCCCTAATATATTTTTATATCTTTACAATATCAATACAAATCCTGAGGAAAAAGTTTAAAATTATCTAAAGTTCAATTAACCGAAACTTATTATTGTGGAAAATCTTTTAAGGCACGACTGAACAATTTTAAGTTTAGGATAACACCCCCCCCCCCCACACACACACGTTTCGGTTATATTTCCACCCTCCTTGCTGGAACTTTTCGTATTATGAACTAACTCGGGCGTTTTGTTTCCCATTCTATGTCTCTCCGCCAATCTTAATACTGGCGGCACCTTAGATAGAACCAAATCTTGCAACCTTAAGAAGTGGGGAAAAAGCTTTGTTTGAACTTTTTATGGAAATATGATTAGGTTTAATTGAACCAAGCTTTTTTACTTAAAAATTCGTTTATTATCAATATAAATCAGAAAAAAAGTTCTTAATTATTTAACTGCAGAAGAAATAACAGGTAGACATCAAAATAAACAAAAAATGAACTGAGTTCTGGCCACAAACTTAAATTTTCTAATCCCTTTATCTTTGCAACTTGATGAAATAAACTAGACTGTTTAATATAACAGAATTCATAGTTTGAATTATTAAAGATCTACAACATCGAGTTTCAAAGAACTTAGTTCCTTTGTAAAATCATCGTTTAAGGACAATATTCCATTCATTCTTTAATCCCACAATTGGTAATACTCCTTTCATTTGGTGGAAATAATTTTATATATTCATAGTTCAGGATTACAACAATATACGGTTATATTCAGACACACGCGTTTTAGAGACAGCGTCCCTCTGCAATATATATACACGTAAATACGCACAAAAAGACAACACGTAAGTAAACTATATATAAAAACTATTCCTTCCTATCTAAGACCCTAAAATGTATCGTATTCAAGCATTTAGATATTAAAAATCGGTCATTAAGATTATATCAATTTTTTAGCGACCTTTACAAATAAAAACCTTTCTTCTCCTGTAAAATATCTTTTAAACCAGTTGTTGTTACCTTGTGATATTTCAAAAGTAGAGATTTCACATAGATCCAGACAATGTTCAAGACTAGTTCGACTTTGAAGTGTTGCAACGTCTTGGCTTTTGATTTTACCACACTAACTCACTTGTACTTTTTTGTAGCCCAGGCAAAAACAGTTGAAACTTTATCACACTTGTTTTTAGTTCTGTCTTTTAAGAAGTTATTGGCAAAATTTTCAACGATTTTGCAGCTGAGCTTGCAATTTTTTGATCAAACTGATTTGATCCACACAGAATTCATAGTTTAAAATATCAGAAAATCAGAGTTTGTGGCAAAAACTCAGTTCCTTCACACAAAAAAAATCTTACTACTCCTTTAGATTTACGAGCTTTCTGTTACACCCCCCTCTCTCCCCCTCCCCAATTTTAAAAGACAAAATGAGCATATGTTGTGGGATGGGTTGGTGATATAAAGACTAATGTGAATGTGGGGGAATGAAACTGGGGGGAATACATATATAAATATTATCTAACTAACTAAATGCCACATAATAAATCACATTTTGTTTACATACACTCTATGCAATGTAAAATATGGCGTATATGCATAATAGGGTTTCCAATTTTACTGAATCTTTCCGGAAGCTGTTAAGAATTTAAAACCAAAAAAAAACATTTAAAAAATTGAGTCTTTGCCACAAACTCTGATTTTCTAATCACTATATCTTTGGAACCAAATTTTGCAGACCTTAGATATTTGAAATTATAAATTCTATTAGATCAAATAATCTGAGTTTGAAATATCAAAGGTTTACATCGAGTTCTAAAGATATTTAGGTTTAAATGCTTGATTTTGTTCCAAAGACTCAATTCCTTTACTTCTGTTTAGCTTTTACAAGGTACAGTCATTCGTAGTAAGTAAAAAATGATTTCTTAAACAATACAAAAACATAATCGTTGGTTATGCGGGCCACATTGATACAATTACATATTTTATATGTAAATCCTTTTATTCGTCTCCTATCTAAAATATCAAAATATCCTATCACATCCCCTGGATTAACTTCGGACCTCCTGTATTGATCCATTTGGACAGAAATAGATAAAAAATAATTGATAGATTGTTGCGAGAATTTGTGCTATGTGATGGAGTAAGACGGAGAAAACAATTACAGTGCAAATGTGTAGTAATATTGTATATATATATATACATCATGTTATTAATCTGCAATTCCATCGCAAATATGGAAATCTTTGTTAACCATAAAATAAGATGATTGTGGGAAAGATGAATATATTTCATGTTTTTTTTATTTTCTTATTTTATGTTAAGCGTCTGGTGGGCAAATATTAGACCCTTAAAGGGACTGTAAACGTAATTTCAAGTGGCCCTCCATTAATAGAATGGCTTTTCCGATCCAGAACGGTACCCTTTAAAGGATTGTCTAATTAAGCATGAATTAGATATCCATGTTTTTTTAAACTGATTACTTTCTTGTGCGGGTTCTCTACAATAGTGACTTGCATATTACTAACTTCAGAAATAATGGAAAAATTTCAAATTACTAAGCCTTTTTTCGTGAATTCCGCCCCCCCCCCCCCCCCCCCCCCCCAGCCACTATTCTATGTGACGAAGCACCTTGTCATTACATTTCATGGGTTATCAGGACCATAACATTATATTCTCATTTCTCGGATGTTAACCAGCATACGCCCGAACTATATAGAACAACTTGATCGTGTGAATATCTTAACAAGCTACAGACACAAGAGCAAATGATTTTATTATGATAATAAAGATAAAAGCTCAGAATTCTTTTTGGGCTAAAGGAATTGAGTTCTTGCCAGAAAGTATGGTTTTATAATCCCTATATTTTTGCAATCCAACGTCGTAGACCTTAGATATTTCAAACTATGATTCCTAAATTATTATTTAATGTAAGTTTGAAATATCAAAGGTTTACACCATCAAATTGCAAAGATATAGGGATGTGAAGATTTGAGTTTGTGGCAAAGACTCAAATCCTTTGGCCATAGTCATTTCACGAACATTTACATTTTTCATGGACATTTAGACAGAAATTGCACAAGAATGTGTAAATATGCTATATTTGTGATTTTTCAAAAAACGTCTTTAAATTTGTAAAAAAAAAAATCGAATTTCAGAATAGTTAATGTGCTGGAAAATAACTAAAAATATTGGTGTGTACGCACAGCATGGTCCCTCATAAAGACACATTACAAGTTGAGGTCAGGAAACCCCGAGCAGTGTTCCCATGGGAGAACACCAGGGATAGTTATTCTTTCTCTTCTAAACCGTAATTATTATCAGATGATTGCAGCAGTATGAATCTTTTAGAGTATTGGCAACTTAAAATGGTTTAAAATAGCCTTAAAAAAGAAAATAGATTTGTAAAATGAAAGTTCCCATCCCAGTGATCCAGATATGTAGAAGAACAGTGCCTGTAGAAACCATCATAATCCGTCACTATTTGGCAGTTTAAACAGTTTAAAATCTATCATCGTGTGAGAACAAATTGCATATAGTTCCCTACTATTGACTCCTCAACCCCCCCCCCCCCCTCCTTCCCATTGCCGCCTGAACA